CAATCAGTGGCAGTAATGACAGAGCATGCGCTGTTACGCAAAAACCGCGATAGAGTGAAGCCGCGGAAGTCGAAGCGCGAAGTGGCGAGGGTTCACTGTATTCCAATTAAAATCTTTATAGAAATATAATTTAAGACCTCAATTAATTATTGAAAATGTACTGCAGTGTTTATCATAATATGATATTTCAAAATCTACTAAGTGTTGGCAAAATGGTATACTTATACTGGTCATTCATATTTCCTTAATTACTTTAAAGTGTTACAAGAAGATAATGTTCCAAATAAGTGTTTTTTGTTTGTGTGTTTACATGAAGGTTCTTTTACCTAATATCAAATTATCTGTAATTTTTTTGTTGGTGGTAGAGCTTTTAAAATTTCAAGATTTTTTTAAAAAGTATTTTATAAAGAATGGCTTTGGAAATAAATTTGAAAAATTTAGCTTACCAATATTTATATCAGTTTTCTCTTGAAACCAAGATAAAAATCATTTAAAGATAAGTTTTTAAATATTCATTTATCATGTGTTAGAAATAATGTAAGACTTAAAATCTCTAAAGTAGGATTATACTATTAGGTAACTGGCTAACTGTTTCAGTACAGAATTAGATGTTTATAATATATTTTGAAACATGCCACCAACATGTCATATTCATTGCCAGAAAGAACATTTCAAGGACCAGGTAGTATAGGTATTACTCAATTTTTTGTACCAACCACTAATTCCGAAGATGATGAATTTGGAGATTTTCATCAACTTTTGCCATCTGAAATTGATTAAACATGCAATCAAGATCCATTCATAATTACTAGTGATTGGAATGTGAAAGGTGGCAACAACGAAGGAATAGCAGTTGGAAAATACGACCTTGGTGGTAGAAGTTATACTTTAAATCAAATGATAGCATTTTGCAAGATCAACGTATTCATTGTAACATGTTTTTTAAAACAACAAAACAGTGACTGTATATGTGGACCTTTCCAGATGAAATACATAGGAACCAAATTGACTACATTTGTGGAAAGAGATGATGGAGAAGAACAAAGAACAAGGAATGACTGTGGAACAGACCACCAATTGCACATATGCAAGTTCAAGGTGAAGCTGAAGAAGGTTAAAGCAAGTCCATAAAAGCAACAATAGGGCCTAGAGATTGCCCACCTGAATTTGGAGAGCATCTCAAGAATAGTTTCGCCACATTGATCACTAATGACTGAAGATAAGTTGTTGGATGTCATCAAGAACATCATCCATGAAGAAAGAAAAAGGCTATTAAAACAGAAGAGAAAAGAGAGACCAACATAGATTCATAAGAAACTCTGAAATTTGTCCTTGAAAGTAGGGTAACTACAGTGAATGGGAAAAGTGACAAAGAGGTGAACAGAAGATTCACAGGACAGCTCAAGAAGACGAAGTATTACAATGAAATTGCATAAAGACCCAGAGATAGAGAATCAAAAGGGAAGAAGACGCACAGCATTTCTTAAGTTAAAAAAATGAAAAAAATTAAGCCTTAAGTTATAATATTGAAGGATTCTATGGGTAAAATGTTGAATAATGCAGTGCGCATCAAAAGAAGATGGAAGACTATAGATTTGCAACCATTTCTAGAGGTAGCAAAGGATCAGGAACCAGTAGTATTAAAGCAGCAGTTCTCAATCTGTGGGTCGCGACCCCTTTGGGGATCAAACGACCCTTTCAAAGGGGTCAACTGATTCATAACAGTAGCAAAATTACAGTTATGAAGTAGCAACGAAAATAATTTTATGGTTGGGGGTTCACCACAACAGGAGGAACTGTATTAAAGGGTTGCGGCGTTAGGAAGGTTGAGAACCACTGCATAAAAGGAAGAACTCTAATCTGCATTGAAAGTCATGGTCAGGAACAAGGCTCCCAACAGTTGATGAATACCAGTTATGATGTTTCAGAAAACAGAAGCAAGGCTGCAAGTGCTCACTCACCCATACCAAAAATTTGGAAGATAGCAATTCTGGTCAACCAACTGGAAGAGATCCATATTTGCGTCCATTTCAAAGAAAAACGATCTAACACAATGTAGAAATTATTAGGCAATAACTTTCACATCACATGCAACTAAAATTTTTGATAAAATTGAAAAGCAGTTGCACTAGCACATTAAAAGGAAGCTACCATCAATTCAAACTGGATTCAGAAGGGATTGGGAATAAAGGATATCATTGCTGTCAGATGGGTCATGGCTGAAAAAATACCAGAAAAAAAAATGTCTACATGTGTTTTGTTGACTATACAAAGGCACTCAACTGTGTGGATAATAAATTATGGAGAATACTTAGAATAAGGAGAATTCTGGGATATTTCATCATATCCATGTAAAACCTGTTTGTAGACCCAAAAGGCAGCCATTCCAACAGATTAAGAAAATACTGTGTGGATTGGGTTTGAGAAAGATGTGTGTCAGGACTGTATTCTTTAACCATACTTATTCAGTGTGTATGCTGAGCAGATAATTCAAGAAGCTGAACTACACGTGGTAGAATGTGGCATCAGGCTTAGAGGAAGATGCAGTAACAACCTGCAATATGCTTCAGTCACAACCTGGCTTGCAAAAGTACAGAGGATTTAAAGTACAGTCTCTGTATGAATTTCATCACATGGCATACATAGGAACCAAACAAAGCAATGATCCTCACAACTGAAGCCTTAAACAACATTATGATAAACAGCAAAGGGATACACGTTGTCAAGGATTTAATTTTACTTAGATCTGCAATCGACAGTAGAAGCAGCAGTCAGAAAATCAAAACAACATTCTGCATTAGGCAAATTGCTGTGAAAGACTTCCTTTATAGTCTTAAAGAGGAAAGATGTCACTTTGAAAATTAGGATGCACCTGACTCAAGCGATGCTATTTTCAGTTATCTCTTTTACGTGCAAAAGATCGACAGTGAATAAGAAAGACAAAAGAAGAAATGGTGCCTTTGAATTATGGTATTGATGGAGAATATTGATTAGACCGTGAACTGCCGCCCCTGAAAGCAGTAGAGCTAGACTAGTCCTAGGAAGATAGCAGCACTTTGTCTCATGTAGTTGGACATGTTATCTGGATGGACCGTTCCCTAGAGAAGGACATCATACTTGGTAAAGTAGAGAGGATGGATTGACACTGGGACGGAAACAATAGGTCCCAGCATAGCAGTGATGGTGAAAATGGTGTGTAGGGTCTGGGCAATTCTGATAGAACAACAGAGGGTCACTGTGAATCAAAAGCAACTTGACAGTACCTAACAACAACGAATTGATTGTTATGAACAAGTAACAATGCTAATTTGTTCCGGTGTACATTTCTTTCAAAAAACTATTATGAAGAAAAGAAGTAATCGAGAAAGCATTGCATGACAGGTGCTTCCCTCATCTACAGGAAATGTAGGTATTGCCCTATAATGACACAGCTATGTGTTGTCGTGGTCCCAGTTACCTGGGCCACTGGCAGGTAACCAGGTGAACTTAACCAAGATGTTGGCTTTTTTTTTTTCCAGCTAGTCCTCCCCTGGCCTGCTCTAGATGTATGTCCTGGACATTGATTCTGCCTCAGAACTAGTATTGAACACCCTTTCTGAGGAAAGTGTTTTACTCCATTCCAAACTAAGTTCTAAAAGACCTTAAGAAAACATTCTGACTGGATGTTACCTGGGCAAGCAAGTAAGAGCAGGCCAGAACTAAATATCACTGTGGGACAGAAAACCCCTAGGTGCCCTTCCTTTATGCACAGGCCTCTCAGAAGATAGAGTCTTTGAACATTTATGGGGCCTGAAATGTTTGCCTCTTTGTTTGAGGGTAAAAAATAGTTGTGGTAATAACAAGGAGGACATAAATTAATGACAAATATAGGTAATCTATAAAGCAGTTTATCACAGATAAAGAAGGCCTTTAAAAAGCAGTCTCAATGACTTGAAACACATCAGATGCTGTTAGATGAGATCAATGTAAGTACTTCGCATCTGGGCCAAAAGCCAAATGCAACTTAGAACTTATTCATACCAGAAAGCAGAGCAAAACAAAACAAGAGAAGAGAAATAGTCGGTTTAAAAGGCTGTAATGCAACTTTAAGTCTCTTGTTGATGATATATAACGGGCATGTAACGGAATTAGAGTATCATAAGTAGATTGTGCTAAAGAATATTGAAATAGTTGTGGATGGTAAGTTAGGGAATGATAGAAATTATGGCAGATAAAATGTATGCATTAACTCGTTTAGTCTGTGTCGTCCTCTGATCTCTGGAGGAATTTCATGGAGCTGACAATAATGAAAAGTTACCTTTTCTGAAAAAAGTGGTGTCTTGGGGAGGTAGCTGTGAAAGCAGTGCCATACTGTGTGGAGCTGAAGGGAGAGAGCGCTCGGAGGAGACGCGCCTGAGGGCTGCAGCCTGGAAAGCACAGTTTCCATTGTTGAGCTCTGATGTAGACCAGGCTGATGCATAAAATAATATTAACTGTATCTACGATGATGAGGTATGCTAGCTGCAGAGGTCATATCACTAGTAGAATACAAAAAGGATTCCCTGAATTTCTGGTGTTATAACAAGGAGGATGGTTGCTCATGGTATAAAATACATATTTTAAAAAATTTGTTGTTGAATCTTGTTTGAGTAAATTGTAACGTACTAAAACATGTTTTTCTGGATATAAAGCAACATATGCTTGTTATGTACTTTACAAATGTGTTATATTTGGGGCAATATAGAAATGTATTTAAAAAATTCCTAACACCAAGGTAATTTTTTGTAGATGTAAATCTGTATTATGTTTTATAGACCTTTTCTTACATCATTAAGAATAAGAGTTCCTCATTTCCCTTTGTTGTTTCAGATTTAAGCTATCGTAGTAGGAGGAGGATCTTTTTAAGCAACGTGGCCCTCATTTCTGCTACTTCCTTAGGATAGATTCTGGAATTGGAGAGATTGGGCCAGTGGATTGAGTGTTGAGGCAGGAGCAGGGCTAGGGAGAGGGGAGGACGGCATTGCCTCTGCACAAAATTTAAGGGGTGCCAAACAGTACTGGAGATAGATAATGCTTTAATGCCGTACCTAAACAAACAACAAGAACTACAGCGATCCAGATGTGGCAGGGTTATTGTTCAGAGCCTTGAGACCTCGTTGAGTATGTTTTTTTAAAAAAATCCTTTGTTGTTCTCCAAGTATAAACTGATTTAAAACTGTTTTTAAACGGACTCTTGGTACAGGTAGAAAGCGTGTTTCTGTTCTATTTAGTAGGTGTGAGGAGAGTACAATACTGACTTATCAGTGGTGTAGGAAAGGGACCAGCTCTTTCTGTAACTAGCCTGAGTCGCTTTGTGTGCCATAAGATCTGTTTTGAGCTTCAAAACAGTAGAAGCAGCCTTCAGCTCATGAGCCTGCGAACAGAGAACTGCCCCTGTGGGTCTCCTAGGCTGTGAAGCTTTACGACCTTTTGTGAGGCTGGTAGTTTCAAACTGCTGACTGAGGTTAGCTGACAGGTTAGCAGCTCAACGTAGAACCCACTGCGTGCCACCAGAGCTCCTGAAAGCAGTCATAGATAGTATATAAATGAATGATCTTTGTTGTATTCCAATGAAAGTATTTTTGGAAATCGATGAAATTTGATTTTTATGTAATTTCAAATGTCACAAAACATTCTTTTCCCTTGATTTTCATGATGTGAAAATGCAAACCGTACCCCTTCACTTGCAAGCCGTACAGAAATAGGCAGCAGCATTGGGGGAGCTTAGGGGCCATGGAATGCTGACCCCTGGTGTGGAATATTCACTTTCCTCTATCATATTTTATCTCCCACTAAATTTAACTTTGTAGAACTTTTTTTGTTTTTTTTCTGGTTTTTACTATTTTCTGCTTTCTTCTCTATTGAGGTTTTTTTTTTAAACATTTTATTAGGGGCTCATACAACTGTTATCACAATCCATACACACATCAATTGTGTAAAGCGCATTTGTACATCATTCT